CGCTCATATAGATATACCTTTGGCTATCTGGCTTCTCAAACCATGTATCAGCCACCAACCATTCATTACTGATACACATATCTAAAAGAACTTCTTCCTTGTTGTCAATATCACAACCGGACTTCCCTAGGTATTCCTCGCATCTTGTCCAACATATGCATCCATGTCCCCCAGGATTAGTAAAACCTCTTCATCTCTTGCTATAGCTGTCAGCTTCTGGAGTACCACTCTAGAATAATCTTTCTCCTCATCTTTGCATCCCGTTTATGATGCATAACCCGATATCACAAACAACACACAACCTTTCACTTGAATTCTTGCTGTCATCAATAAGCTAATGAGTTTAATAATTTCCACTAGTGCTTTTCTGATTTCTTCACTAAATCACAATTTCAACTCCATAACTCTTATCTTCTCCTTCAGCATACGAAAGTTTGCAATCAAGACCAAGCTCGCTAGTCGCCTTCCCTTTCCATCTTATCACTTGGATGCAAAGGACATCCAGTCTTCTTTGGTTCATCATTTCCACTACCTCCATCCCTTTCCCTGTCAAAGTAGACAGATTGGGTGTAACCACCTTTATTATTATGTTGGTCTAGAGTTTTACATCCAACCATTCTCTTTTTATGTTATCACTTCAGACCTTCGAAGAGTAAGTCAGACGTTGGTCACAAGGAAACCTACAGGCCCGTGGCTGCCAGGCTTAAGATGGGCGAATTCCTAGCTTAGGGCTAAATAGTCTTCCCACCATTAACATATGCCCCTAGCAGAGTAGCTTTCAGGCCAAATTACCTTTTCCTTATAACTGGTAACTGCACCTGTTCAAGTTTTGGCAACCACGTATTCACAAGACTAGTCACATTGTGCCAAAGCCCATAATATAGCTAGTTCACTGGATGGTTTCGCTGCTGTGCACCGTGATATTAGATCCAAGGAACTAAGTAGAAACTACCATTGCTGCTGTCAAGTGGCTTCACCATTACCCTGGCAGGGGACTTTCTGTCAAGGCTGTCTCCCTTAACCTTAGGTTCAAAACTTTATCCCGCAAGGCAGTGGGATAGACATTCCGTTAACAATAAATATTTTTATTCACTCTAGTATTTAAATATTAAAGATATATTAAAAATGCTACGAACACTAAGTTTCTAAAGAAGGAAAATATCAGAATTTCTTATTTAGAATTATATTTTGTTCAAGTTTGTTACTTACCTTTATCTCTCATGATGTGTTATACGTAAGAAACATTTAAAAAACTTTGTCAAGTCATTTGGTGTCTTGTATGCTTATTCCTTATATCCCACGTTTGTGGAAAATATACACAGTATAATTTTTCGCACCTGTAAAAAATACTCAAGGTGGTTGAACAACATAAAGAATTGCTTTAACAGTATTTGAACAGGATTGCCACTTTCGTAAATACTTATTGTTGAAAAATTCTAATAGCAAGAGCTCCAGCGAATGTCTGTTCCATCTTTCTATTGAATGAGTTACTTTTGATGTTTACATTAGGACTAAAATATCTATGATATCTTTATTTTACTAGTGAAATTCATTTTCTTTTATTTAACAGGATTTTACGTTGATTCTTAGGAAAGAGTGTGCATGAGAATGATATACAGATCTCAGTGGTATGAGTAATATCTTAGCTATGTGTATTTTAAAAAATGAAATAACCACCCTGAAAATCCCAATTAAAACGTTCTTACCAGCTTCCCAGCTACAAAACGGGTTTGGTGGCTTTCGAAATGGGCTTGGATTCAGTATGCAGCTATTTTGTTAATCTTTGTATATGTCATTCACTAGACTAAAGATTTTGGTGTTCAGAAATCAGCTGTTCAGCACCATAGTTGATAATTCTCTATAGAAAACGTTTAGGTATGTGAAGATTAAAGCTAATTTTTAAAAATATTTTATGTATATGATATCCACGAGTTTTTGTTATTTTTGGATAACCTGAGTCGATACAAGCACAAATCATGTTTCATTTTAATCATTGTGCCCTAAGTAAATATGTAGCAGTCTGAATGCTGTTGAGCAAAGTTAAATATTTGTAACATTCTTGCTTTCATAATATCTACTTTCATTCATGTAAAATTGTAGGTTGTCATACATATCTATTGATTAAAAGGAAAGCAACTATAAGTCAGAGTTAAATCCTTACAGCTGATAGTCAGACTATTATTTTTTCTGTAATATACATTTTGGTATATGTAAGTCTTACAGGCAGTATAATAAAATATATGTTGTTTTTAATGAACAGATTAGGCAATTTATTTAGATAAAACAAAGGTGAAAAGGTATTACAATCATTCAAACCAAAACCAGCACCACTTTTAAAACTAATCAGGAATTGGAAACACCTAATCAACCAGGGAAGTTCCATTACAACCAACCAATTACAACCGACATCAATTATCTGCACCAAGTACATTATATACAAAGCGCAAACATTTCCTATTCTGAAGTGTTGTCATCTTAGCCTTTCTGTTCGATATCTGTGCAAGGCAGTTGATTTCCATTTGCACCTTTGTTTCATATGTTTTTGCTCGGCCCTCCAGTGGCTCAGTGGTAAATCTGAGGGTTTATAACAGTAAAAATAGTTTCGATACTCACGGTGGCTACAGCTAGATAATCAACTTTGCGCTTAACAACAAAACACACGCAAACACGCTTTTGGTAATTTCCAGGAAGTTAATTACTGATTACTCTTAATAGTTTCTGTTGTAACTTTGTGGCTTATTAATACGCGTACTTAAAAGATAATCATCTAGTGTGTGGGATAATTGCTGTCCCTAATTATGAACTGATAGATTATAGAAGAGGCAGCTAGTCAACCGCACCCATTCTTGGACTACTCTAATCAAATAGTGAGATTTGGTCAGCAATCTTGACCTGGCATTGGTTGGTAGTTAGAGTGCTTGACTCAAGATCTTTAGATCGCAGGATCGAAAATTGTTATTAAAAAACGTGTGCGCCCTTTCAACCGAGGGAGAGGGAAATTATAATGTAACAGACAATCCCACTATTCGTTTTTGAGGAGTAGCCGAAGAGTTTACAGTGGGGGTGTTGTACTGTGGGAGCTTTTTTATTTAATGATTACAGAACATTAATTTCAATTAAAATTTTGTCCCCCATATATGTAAGAAATATTTTGGGATGTGAAATATCGAGGTTTGTATTTAATTAATTTTGTTAAAGCGGTAAATAATATGGCTAAGGAAAATTTAGAACATTTATGTTCTCAATAAGACTTAGCTGAGTTTTAAAGCAAATTTTTATGTTGTGTTGCTTTGTAAACTAGTGTGTTCGTTTTGAAATACCAAAAAGCTGAAAAACGCTTCTTCAAATTCAAAACTTATTAAACACAGAAGATAAAAATCATCACCATTTTCCAATATATGTTTTGATACACAAAGTAGGTTCAAAACAAAGAAATGTTTTTATTATTCTCTTATTTCTTCTAAGGATAATCCTGGTTCAGACATACAAACTTTTTCTTAAAGATGGATAAGTGACTTGATGAAAACAACGCAAGTATATGGAACAGTCATCCCTAAGCTTATTCCACTAAAGTAGATTACTTATCACTAATAAACTACATACCAGTTACTTGAAAAGGGCTTTGTGACTGTATTATTATAATACAAGCTGAATGTACTTGAAAAGAGCTTTGTGACTGTATTATTATAATACAAGCTGAATGTATTTGAAAAGAGCTTTGTGACTGTATTATTATAATACAAGCTGAATGTACTTGAAAAAGAGCTTTGTGACTGTATTATTATAATACAAGCTGAATGTACTTGAAAAGAGCTTTGTGACTGTATTATTATAATACAAGCTGAATGCTCGTCATGTAATGGGAAATAATGATTAGTTTTTCTTCTCAAAATTATATCCAAATAAATGTTTTATGAACATATTTTTTACAAGTTAATTAGAATGACTAGTATTTGACTTCTGTATATTTTTAAGTTATGTTCAAATCTTCTACTTGATAAATCATTACAGATTGAAACATGCGAAAAACTGATTCTCAAAGACATATTCCTACTTGATAAACTGTATGATCCTGTAAATGATTAATTGTGATGGTAAAGGCAGTGAATTTTATTATGAATTTCAGGGTCTTCCCTTTGGCTTGTCTTCCTGGTTTTGGTCTTTGTTAGCCTACTGAGCTGAAGAAGCATGCTTTAATTTGGGCAATTTCAAAATTGAAATGTGCTGCGGGTTATTTTAGAGTTGTAGCCGCAGGTTCCGATTGGACAAAATTTGGTGATGTTGCGTCAATGTGGCTGCTTAACAACCACGCAAACGTAATGGGGAATTTCAGTCAATGACTGATTTTTGTGCGTGGAGCGTGCTTATACCCCATTCGATTTTATTACTCATCACGATCTCTACCAACCTACTCCCAAGTCTAATTATACGTCGAAAATAGCGCATCGCTCCTTTTATGCATATATGGCTGGAAGAATTTTGAAAAGACAAACTTGCTTGTCGCGGCAAAGCGCCTTCGTTTTGTGCAAATTGCGTTTCGATCGGTACCGCAACGGTAGAGATATCGGCATGACAGACGGACGGCTTTTCATCATCATATTGTAGATTACAGAATGTTCCATAAAATTAATTTACAGAAAACGTTTCATTGAACTATTTGACAAATTTATGGACATTCTAATTTAGTGAACTGCAACATAAATGATGAATAACCATGTTTCTGTCAAATAAACTGTAGCAGTATCTATTTCAGCCATTAGATATTAGAATCAGTGGTGGGAACAGGAACTACCAACATGATTTTATTTAACTACTAATAACAATGTGTACGTGAGTACCTACTAAAATATTACACTTTAAGTCTAATGGCTAAATGTGAAAACCGTTACAAGTAGTTAGATGGGAATATTTTACTGACGTGAATCTCGTTACTAAAGTCTATATGAAATATTGTTACTCCTTTACTCTTTATGAAACTAGATATTGTTAACAATAAACAATGTGCTATATATTTCAGACAAATTTTGATTGAATGTACAGGGTAAAACGTTTGTTTATTTTGTCACAACTTTTCACTAGGTTTATCTGGCATCATCAGAGGAGATACAAGAACTGAGGCTAAGAGAAATGAATTTAGAATAAGAAATTACACGCGTGTATATCCATAAAAATAATAATATAATCTACAAAACATGTAAATAACTGATCTCAACACATATCTATTTTACGCCGGAAAAATATCCTTACCAAAACCTACAAGATTCCAAATAATACCAAATATCAATATTGTTCTGATACATTGCCGTTCTATGGCAATCTCATATCAGTTTTTTTCCACATAACCTGATGACTTGCATATTAAAATCATTTTGATATAACTTAGTCAATCCTCTGCATGTTTTATATATTTTGCAGCAATACTCAAATTTATAGAGAAACTACAATAAGAAAATTAATTGGCTAACAGCAACAGTTAACGTCCTAAATTAAAGGTATATTAAGCTATCACATACCTAAATAAGATATTGTAAAACTGTCTACTTATAAACACAATTAGTTTCTTCGTATTTGTACTTCTAGTTTTACTTTGGACAGGAATTCTTCATATCAGAATAACTGATCTCAACAAACAAATATATCAATTGCAAAAGAAACACGAACAAAATAAAACTTACAAATACCCTTTTCCAGCAGGTCGTAGAATTTATTCACACAATTATTCTGTTAGAGAAAAGAAAAAAATAAGTTATAACTGCATAACCACTGCTATATGAACATGTTCATCACCTTCCATAAAACCATCACACCATGCAAGTAAAAGTTCTAAAATTTACTACATTTCATGAAGTAAAATGTGATAGTTTTCGTATAAATCAATGCTCTTTCAGTCTTGTTATAAGAATTACATACACTTCGATATCGACCATTTACACATTTCTGTGTACTACAGTTAAACCATAACTGATTAATTTTAGTAGGTTTTAAATTTTCTGTCAATAATACCGGACGATTAATTTTCGCTACCTCCCATATGTTTAATATTACATGTCTGTTGCGTATTCTTTGTCACAAAGAAAAAAGCTCTCCTGTGGTGTTACACGTATCTCAGGGAGATAATATCTTTAATATAAGAAAGTTACCATATACTTATGTGTGTGTGTGTGTGTGTGTGTGTTTGTGTACTACGCTAAGGTTGTGGCAATCAGATATCAGTCATTGCCATGGTTAGTAGCCAGTATGATCACCTAAGCCTAATTATTAATCAGTTACTGATATTTCTAATGATTAAATATTAATCACAAACTGGTTTTATCCTACCAGTAAATAGTACATTGTGACTTAACAAATTAACTAATTAATAATTAGACTTGAGAGATCGTACAGATTATTAACCATGACAGCAACAACATATACGAATCAGTTAATATCCTCAATATTGCAGTGATACTTTATGTACACATATTGTTAACAGGATGGTGATATTAAAAGTACTTCAGTCTAGTAGTGTCTTCTGTAATACAACCATGTTACATGTATCTAAGTGAGGTATTACACAGAGTACGATACTCATATTATGTGCAGTTATTATTAACATTTCATTAAAGATTATAATATCAGATTCTTTCTGTAGCCCTTGTCACTAATTATTTTTAATTACGGTAACTGCCTTCTTGATATTTTGTAGGTGTTAAAGGTTAAATATCTATAAGAGTGATAGTGGTTGTTAACTGAAAGTTATCATGATGAAGTGGGCCTCCACACTTTACATATTGAATCACGTGGTTCATTTTTATTTTATTTTTATTATTGTTTTGTAGTTCACGGATGGGCTCACAAGTGAGTTTATCACGTGGTCTGTGTTATATATCTTAAAGTTCACTTAGAATGTATTTAATTAGCTCATTACTAGCTTGATTTATAGTTTTGATCTTTGTTGCTTTGATCAGAAATCATCATAAATGTAATGATATTCACCATTTTAGACGTTTCTTTGAAATATAAGTCACCTGTATATGAGATACTTTCATGGATAAGTCTCTTCTGCTCTTGAAAGTTATTTGTTTCACTTTATTTTACATGATTTTTGTCACAATAATTGTTTAAGTATTTACAGCACACTTACTATTATAGCATCCTTCCATTCCCTCTTTTGGTATTGTTTTTACATCAGCCATTTGTGCAGCACAGTTAGTTGCCTAAAAAAATTAAATACGTATTACTTGTTGACATATTTTACCATGATAATCTATTAGTCAATGCAAACACACTGAAAAATACTTAACATACATAAACAAAGTAATAGCTTACATTCACTTGAAATTACAGGTCTTTTTCTGTAAAATTCCAAAAAAAAACGATAAAACTTTAAAACCTTCTGAAGTAATGCCAGTAGAACTGTTTCAGGTTACAAAATTAACTGCTCGAAGAAAACTATATATAGGGGAGACAAGAGGATATTGTAAGTATCTGTACATTTAAGACTGATTGTTACATATTACTTAGTATCCACAGGCGTATCTGATTATATGACGTACATCCACCAAATGACGTCATTGCTTGAAATGTACATTGTTTGAATTTAGAACAGTTCCATAAAATGTTCCTGTAGCGCATTTTAAACAGCTTGAGTAATTCAAGTGAACACGAAACCCAATATACTAGAATCGAGTGTAAAGTATCCAAAAATAGTTGCAATAAATATACTATACAAAAAACAAACCTGTAACCTAAGTTTTATTTCAGTGCCCCTTTTTTGACTCACTAGATATTTCGATTTTAGTGGGAACACATACATATTTTAACAGTTACACAAACAGGATAGAGATTTGAGTGCCCTTTTTTGACTCACTAGATATTTCGATTTTAGTGGGAACACATACATATTTTAACAGTTACACAAACAGGATAGAGATTTGAGTGCCCTTTTTGACTCACTAGATATTTCGATTTTAGTGGGAACACA